TGCTCCCCCGTGCGTGCATTGCTCCCCCATGCGTGCACGCAGTGCGTGTGTTGCTTACCCCGTGCATGCACGCACGGCCAATGTATGCGCTCAGTGCGTGTGTTTCTAACCCCGCGGATGCACACGCATTCCTTACCCCGTTCCGGCGAAATTCGCCCAATAAGCGATCATCAGTTCGGACAGATGCTGCTCCTGCTTCGAATAGTTTCCCGGAAACGGTCCGAGCCCGTCCACCAGCGGCGCTCCGAACACATACGGCAGATCATCCCCGCGTACGCTCCCCGCCTCGTCCATCCCGTAATCTCCTCGCTTTGCCTGGTAGCTGAACACGTAGAAGTAAGAGTCGAGATGGACGAGCGAGTGTGCGTCGGCGGTGTCGACCAGCGGCGCCGTGTACAACGCGTCGCCTAGCACCTCGGCGACGCTCTCTCTCACAGTCTGTGGATGCTCGAACTGTCCGGCTCGCTCCCAGTCCGTGTACTCGTTAACGATAGAATGATATAGCAGGTCCTGATGGTAGACGAAGAGGTTTGCGACGAAGGTGCGCAGCAGACGCCGACGCTTTCGCTCGTCGATTCCCATGCGCGTGTCGTTTTCGTTGAAGTAATCGAACCCTTCCTGCTTCGTGACGCCGAAGAGCAGATCGTATTTGCCGAAGCGGACGCTCTCGCGACGCATGACGTCGCGCGGCCAATTCTGCACGGTGATGCCGTCGATCGTCGGACCGATGGCCGTGAGGAACGTCGGCGGAACGACGACGAGCTCGACGACGTCGGCGACGGGCGCGTCGCGCAGGCACTGTTCGTCGATCGTCGGCGAGCCCCGCTTGGCGCAGCCGAGTTTCTCGGCGATGTAGCGCGCGTGGGTGGCGGCGTCTTCGACTAGAGCCCAGCTGGAGAGAGCGGACCCGCTCATCATGATGCCGCGACGAAACAGACCTGCATGCCGACAGAGAGTGATTCAAATTCAAATTCAATTCAAATTCAAATTCAAACTAAAAAATGTTTATTCATGCGTTACAATATGCATAAATAATACAATGGGAATATTAGTATCAGAATTGCGTAGGAGGGCGAGTTGACTGGGAAGTCTTCGAGTCAGCCACTCCTTAAATGTGATATTATTACATATATATGATGGCTGTTAAATGATACATGAGTTTAACATAAGTAGGGATACATAATGAAAGATAAATGACAATAAAGCAAAATAGAACAGGTATGAACAGTCAAATAGATTAACATAACAAAACATAATTTCACCGAACAGTAACTCAAGAGTATCAAAAATAATAAGTAAATAAATAAACAAACTGGTATGCAACATCATAATTTAAACGTACAGTGTACACAAGATCAGCAATGTTAAATGTTATGAAGAGGTATGTAAACAGCACCTAAAAACCCAAAGAGACAAATGGAATATATGAGCTAATTCTTTAAACAATAAACTTAACTAGCTATATACAGTTGCACATATGAAATTTGTTAGAGCTGAGTAGTTATTGCAAGTAGTCCTTAGTAATTAGATATGAACTGGTATGAGATGATAGTTAGATAGTTGTAGTCGTATGTGTGGGTGTAGTATTAGTATGCATGCAGGGTATGCATTGCTCCTCCCATGCCTGCATGCAGGGTATGCATTGCTCCCCCATGCCTGCATGCAGGGTATGCATTGCTCCCCCATGCGTGCATGCAGGGCGTGCATTGCTCTTCCATGCGTGCATGCAGGGCGTGCATTGCTCTCCCATGCGTGCATGCAGGGTATGCATTACTCCCCCATGCATGCATGCAGGGCGTGCATTGCTCCCCCATGCCTGCATGCAGGGCGTGCATTGCTCCCCCATGCCTGCATGCAGGGCGTGCATTGCTCTCCCATGCATGCATGCAGGGCGTGCATTGCTCCCCCATGCCTGCATGCACGGTATGCATTGCTCTCCCCATGCCTGCATGCAGGGCGTGCATTGCTCCCCCATGCGTGCATGCAGATCATGTGTTTCTTACCCCGCGCATGCACGGCGTGCATTGCTTCCCTCATGCGTGCACGCAAGGCGTGCATTGCTCCCCCATGCGTGCACGCAGTGCGTGTGTTGCTCTCCCCATGAGTACATGTAGGACGTGCATTGCTCCTCCCATGCGTGCATGCAGGGTATGCATTACTCCCCCATGCGTGCATGCAGGGCGTGCAATGCTCCCCCGTGCGTCCATTGCTCCCCCGTGCGTGCACGCAGTGCGTGTGTTGCTTTCCCCATGAGTACATGTAGGGCGTGCATTGCTCCCCCATGCGTGCATGCAGGGTATGCATTGCTCCCCCATGCCTGCATGCAGGGCGTGCATTTCTCCCCCATGCCTGCATGCAGGGCGTGCATTGCTCCCCCATGCGTGCATGCAGGGTATGCATTACTCCCCCATGCATGCATGCAGGGTATACATTACTCCCCCATGCATGCATGCAGGGTATA